CTTTCAGGCTGAAACTGACACGGGGCCTGTAGGCTGTTGTTCCAGGCTTTCAGGCTGAAACTGACACGGGGCCTGTAGGCCCTTGTTTTCAGGCTATTTGCCTGAAAACAACACGGGGTCTGTAGGCCCTCGTTTTCAGGCTTTTAGGCTGAAAATGACAAGGGCCTGAAAATCGCCCGTGCAGCCTGTTGCAGGCGCATCATGTAACACCCCCCCCTCCTTATGAAGTCAAGCCGGGGCGATTGCAAAGCTAACGATCTGACGGTGGAACGTGGATGCGGGTGCGACGTGGAGCCGAAGATACCGGCTTGCCTTGCATCTTGCGTTTGTAGCGTGTGAGAACATGCGAAGCTGTTGCGTGGAGTTCGGCACGGGTTAACCAATGGTCAGCTCGGGGACTGCAGTACGCAAAGTGTACCAAGTACTCGGTTGGCCTGTTACCGTAGCGTCGCTGGGAGATGATGTTGCCGACCTCTGGAAAGCCGTCCATAGAGGGTGGGTCTTGCGATCGTCGTCGGGGGAAATCGTCATGTTCCGCTGGCGTGTAGAGAGCCAACTTGGAGGGCAATGAAAGACCGGGTAGACGGGCAAGTGGGCGGGCATCTGAATGGTGAATGAAGGTCCTTCGGGTGCATCCCCGGCGGGTGCCACGATCGGCCAAGGCCCCATCCATTTTGGGAGGGAGATATCTTGTTTAAGGCTGAATTCCGCTGCGGAAACCCAAACGAGATCGCCGACGCGGAATGGGCAAGGAAGACGCTGGCGATTGGCCTGTTGGCTAACGCGTTGCTGCGTCTTGGCCATCTGGTCGCGTGCCTTGACAAGTAGCTCTTGCATCCGTCGCAAGAAAAGAAGATGGTCGACGCTCTCGGTCATTCGTGGAATGATTGTGTCGAACGAAGAAATGACCGGCGAGTCGTGCTCGAACTCGCAGGGCGACATCCCGATAGCCGGGTGGATGGACGAGTTGTATGCCAACTCGACATCCGGCAGCCACTCAACCCAATCCTTTTGGTTAGTACGGATGAGAGTGCGAAGGAGAACCTGAGCTGTCTGATGTGCCCTCTCCGTTTGGCAATCTGGTCGTGTGCCTTGACAAGTAGCTCTTGCATCCGTCGCAAGAAAAGAAGATGGTCGTCGCTCTCGGTCGTTTGTGGAATGATTGTGTCGAACGAAGAAGTGATCGGCGAGCCGTGCTCGAACTCGAAGGGCGACATCCCGATAGCCGGGTGGATGGACGAGTTGTATGCCAACTCGACATCCGGCAGCCACTCAACCCAATCCTTTTGGTCAGGACGGATGAGAGTGCGAAGGAGAACCTGTGCTGTCTGATGTGCCCTCTCCGTTTGGCCATCTGTTTGGGGGTGGCGAGCCGAACTTAGCTTCAGAGATGAGCCCTATCGTTTGATGAGCGCCAACCAAAAATCGGACATGAACCGAGTGTCGCGGTCGCAGACGATTTCCTTGGGGGTAACCCTTGGTTCGAATCCAACCGGCGTAGAGAACCTCGGCCGACTCCGGTGCCTTGGCATGATAGCGGCAAGGCAAAAACATGGCAAACTTGGTGAGTCGGTCGACCACCGTGAGAATTCCGTCCACACCGGTCTTGTGCTTGGGGATCGGCCCGGTAATGTCCATGGCAATCGCTTCCCTTCTGCGCAAGGGGACTGGTAGCGGTCGTAACTCATCGTACGGATGATGATTGCGGGATTTGCAACGTCGGCAAACCTCGCATGACTCGCAATAGTGTGTGACGTCGTCGAGAAGACCGGGCCATTAAAAGCGCTCACGGAGTCGGCCAATCGTACGATTGACTCCAAAGTGTTTGGTGGCGGGAGCGTCGTGGAACTCGCCAAGAACCCGTGTGTGCAAGTGTGAATCTCGTGGCACACAAAGAAGATCCTTCCCTCGCGAGTGGACGAGCAAGTACCCCTCTTGGATCCGATAGTGCGATGGCGCCGGATTAGGAGAGGAGCAATTTGCGTACTTGTCGCAAAACTCGGGGTCGACTTGGTAGCCGCGGATGAAGCTGTCCCGCAAGTCGTCGTTAAGCTCAGAAGTTGAGTAGACTGCGTTGCAATGATTCGGATGCCGTGAAAGAGCATTCGCAAAACGGTTTGACTTGCCCCCGGAATGTGGTCGGGGAAAAAGTCAAACTGGTCGATGAAGGCCATCCAACGGGCAATGGTGCTATTGACCGTGTCTTGGGTCTTGTAGAAGACCAATGGATTGTTATTCGTTACCCATCGGAATTGCCGTCAACCGAGAAGAAAATGCCGCCAGCGCTTGAGCGCGTGTACGAAGGGCAATAATTCCTTCTTCCGTGCGTCGTCAATCGAGTGCACGACGGGCACTTTCTTGCTAAAGTACTCGATCGGGTGCTAGTCCACACCGTCATGTTGCTCGAGGACGGCACCAATGCCATAGCCAGACGCATCGGTAGTGACACATGTCGGCAAAAGCGGATCGTAGATGCGCAACACCTCCGCGGATAGCAATGCGGCTTTGAGAGCCAAAAATGATTCCCGCGCCTTCTCTCCAAAGTCAAACGGCCGATCCTCGCATTGAAGCTTGGTCAAGTGGGCTTCGATCTTCGAGTAGCCTTTGATGAAACGTTGATAGTAGCCGGCGAGGCCAAGGAAAGAATGAACATCCGTGACGTTCCAAGGCTCCGGCCACTCTTGGATGGCTTGAATCTTGTCCGATAGCGGACTGATGCCCTCCGGTGTGACAAAATGGCCCAAGTATTCCAGCTCTTGCCGGACAAATTCGCACTTGTCGCGGTTGGCTTTGTACTTGGCACGGCGGAGCGTCTCCAACACTCGTCGAAGGTGCTCAAGATGATCCTCCAATGTCCGGCTATAGACGAGGATGTCGTCTAAGTAGACTAGTACGAACGGGTCCAGCATCGCACGAACCTCGTTGGTCATTGGCGCTTGAAAGGTCTCCGGGGCATTGGTGAGGCCAAACGGCATAACGATCCACTCAAAATGCCCGTACCGCGTTTTGAACGCGGATTTGTAGCAATCTTGCGGGCGTATCGAGATTTGATGGCAGCCCGACTTCAAGTCCAACTTTGAGAAGAATTTTGCGCTGCCCAAACGCTCGAGAAGGTCGTCAATCCGTGGAAGAGGTCCCGCATTCTTGACGGTTTGTGCGTTGAGCTTGCGGTAGTCGATGCACAAGCGAAGATCCTTGTTCTTCTTCTGTACGAAGAGAACTGGCGCACCATATGGTGCGCTGCTAGGGCGGATCCAGCCCTTGTCCAAAAGATCGTCGAGTTGAGCGCGGAGAACCTCGAGCTCTTCCTCGCTCATGCAATAGATGCATCCTTTTGGCGGCACGGCACCGGCCTCAAGCATGATCTCGTGGGAGATCGGCCGATCCGGCACCACACCGATAGGAGACTCGAAGATGTCGGTGAACTCGTCAGGCAGCCGCACCACTTGGGGGTCCGAAGACAAGTCCGTAGGTGAAGATTCGGTCGTCGTGGCGGCTCGTAGAAAGCATAGGCCTATCTCGTAGGTCCGCTCGTAAGCGCAAGTGGCCCGAAAAGACTTGGCCGTTACAACTTGGCACCGGATCGAGGAGTGCGGAAGAGGAATGGTACACGACACCTCGACGCCGAAGGCGTCACGAACGGTAAGTGTCTGCTGATGGAAGTTAACCGTGTGATCCGCACGTGCAAGCCAAGGCATCCCCAAAATAATGTCGAAAGTCTGTATCTAAGACGTTAAACGTCACCGGTTCGCAGTCATGAGGTGCGAAATAAACCGGCACGGTTTCAATGTAGCGATCGAGGAGTTGTTGCGTTCGACCGTCCGCCAACTTGATCGCCGTCGGGTTTGGCTTCCTTCGAACTTTAGCGCCAAGGTCGGCCCTTTGGATAAAGGACTGGCTGATGAAATTGCGAGTCGCACCGCTATCCAGCAAAGCGCTGCAGGACGCTTGCCCAACTTGGATGCGGACATAAAGGAGCGGTGCGTTGTTATCATCGTACCGCTGCATGTGAAACTCGAGGGCCACCTTGGTAACATATGCAAGGATGTCCCCCACCGCAGCTTCGTCATCCGCCGGCGAAGATGGTGGTGCATAGAAGGCTAAGTATGTGTGGAGATGGGCGCATGGTGTTGCTCATTGCGGTCCCGGCAAGCAGCCTGTGGAAGGGAGAGGAAGCCATGCAAAATCCTCGGACGTCAATGGGTCCCTATGTTGAACTCGTGTTTGGAATCCCTTGAAGAACCACTTGAAGACGATCCATTTTTGTTGTTGCCGGACGGAGAGGAAGCCGCACACACATCTTGTCCTTGAGCTTGAGAACCCAGCGAAGGAACGAGCCGGGCAGCATAGTCCTCATAAGAATACAAGAGAGGACTGTCGACTTCCGCATGTGCCTCGGAATGAAGAGAGGTCGCTCGCAAAGCAACCGATTCCAAAGGCGTCGAGAGTGCAGCCCCATCACTCTCGGCGGTGCTCACTTTCTCGAAGGGGATTTGCCTTGGACTGGCGTGGGGCATGCTGTGGTGTCGTGCACTGCGTTGTTGCACCACAAGCAGTATCGGTACTTAGACCGGATGCGGTACACGCCTTCCGAGATACCGTAATGTGTCCAAGGCTCTTAAGCCGCTGGTCCGCCCCCGGGGGCTGAATTGGTGTGTGTCTTCGGTTTGCCGCGTCCTCGCCCTCTAGCGGCGCGGCCACCATCCCGGGTGACTGCCAATTTGTCTCCTTCCTCAGAAGAGGCAGCCTCGTTTGAAGGGTTGGTCGTTGTAGTTGCTGCAACCACGGCCACTTTCGGCCGATGCTGTCCTCTACCCTGGTCTGCAGCCTACGGATGGCCCAAATTCTTGGCTTCTATGTTCGTCAAGATGATTTGCGAGGCTTTATCAAAAAGCTGCTCACTTGTGGTGAGCGTCTCCGCAACTTGCGTCAAGGCGTTCTGCAACGCCGGGAAGCTCCTCCTGATGAAGAAGTGCTTGATAGCAACAAATGTCGACGGCAAGTTGGGCGTGGATGCCAAGCGTTGGTACTTGGTGATCCAGTCTGTGCTTGGCAGGTCGTTCTGATAGAACCGTTGAAGTTTCTCGGCTGCCTGAAGCTCGGAACCTCTTGGAACCGCTTATGCCATGCTGCCTTGAGATCAGCCCAGCTGATCTTCGTATGCAGCTCGGAGACTGCGATGTTGTGCGTGGACAACATGTTGTCCAGCCATGCTTGGCACGCGCCTCCCGAGCGGGAGTATAAGTATGCGTGCCGGTTCGGGTTGATGACGTGGTGAATGTCCAACTTCAGCTCAAACTGGTGCCACCATGGGATAGGGTCCGTCTTCGTTGCATCGCAGAAGATCGGGAGGCCGTCAAACTTCGGGATGCTCTCGTGATTAGTCGCGGTTGGACTGGCTGCGGCGGCGCAATCTGCTGGTCAATCCGCTGATTTGTTGTTAGAGCGCTGTCCTTGAGAGTCTCGACGTCAATTTCCAAGACGTTGACGCCGTCCCGTCAAGTTGGAGGGTCCGGCGGGGGTGGCTGATGCAAGCTGATGTTCCAGCCGATGTACGCGGTCAAGCAGTTCATCAATAACTCAAATCTGCTTCCCGACCAGGGTGTCCACGCAGAGGATGTCCTCTTGCTGTGCTGCACAGGTGGCGACCAAGTCGCTCACATGTTCGATTGTGGTTGCAAGGCCACGCACAGCAGAGGGGGCACCTTCCGCTGTCCTTGAGAGTCTCGACGTCGATTTCCAAGACGTTGACACGGTCCCGTCAAGTTGGAGGGTCCGGCGGGGGTGGCTGATGCAAGCTGCTGTTCCAGCCGATGTACGCGGTCAAGCAGTTCATCAATAACTCAAATCTGCTTCCGGACCAGGGTGTCCACGCAGAGGATGTCCTCTTGCTATGCTGCACAGGTGGCGACCAAGTCGCTCATATGTTTGATTGTGGTTGCAAGGCCACGCACAGCAGAGGGGGCACCCTCCTCTTCAGCAGCCACTGCCCATTCGCCGACGATCACCTCGATATCCCGCTCGCATTTGAGGAGTTTGTCTCGGTGTTGTTGACTGCGTTCGTCTGCGGCCTTCCTTGCTGCCTCGGCATCCGCCTGTCGCTGCTGTTCAGCGAGGCGACGCTGTTCCTCTGCTTCCTCATCTTCTTTCTTACGTGCGGATGTTGCCGCCGCTGCCCGTTGCTTGAATTATGCTACCATGTCCAGCATGCGGGTCTCATAGGCCTCGGTAGTCTCGCCTGGCTGCTGCTCCATGCCGCTTGTCTTTGAGCGGGTGAGCACCATGCACTGACGTGACCTGGTGCTGCGGTGACTGGTTGCTGACGTGGCACTGTTGTCGTGTCCTTCTGACGTGGCTTGCTGATGTGGCAACTTACCAATGCCGCCGCAGGGGGTAACAGGAGGCAGATAGAGAAGACCAGAGGGGGCAACAACATAGGTGGGAAGGGGTGGGATATATCGCCCAGATAAGGAGCCACTAATCAAAAAAAGAAAAGTTTGAACTTTGCAAAAAAATTCGAGAAAAAGAAAAAATACTTGTTTGCAAGTTCAGTGGGCCCCCCAATTCCCCTGAAGTGCGAAATTAAAAAAAATTCGAACTTTCAGACCGCAAATGATTTTCTGATTAAAGAATTCCGAAAATGAAGTAAAACAAAATTCGGAATTACACAGATGAGAGTACGTGCAGTTGGAGAATGATAACTGCAAGAGGGATTCCCGTACCGTTTTTTTTGAAAAAAGGATTTCGGAATAAAAATATTTCGGATTTCTCAAATAACGGGAAATTGCAAAAGGAAATCGGAATTTTCGAAAAAGAAGATATTCCGGATTTTCAACAACGAAATTTTGAATTTTCAGAAGAAAAAAACAAATCGGAAGTTTCAGATGTTGCGCTATTTGCATGTGTCCTGGGGACCATCTCACGCAGATGTGTACATGTCATGCATCATCTTCACATGCAGTGATCAATAGTCTCAACCATAGACAAAGGTAGAGAAGAAGAGGACCGAGTTTCACAACTTATATTATCAAAAATATGAATACAAAGTGTTTCAAAGTTCCTCTAAGTCCAGTGCTCATCAGCGCAACACCAATCTCTTGTCAACTCATCAATATGACTTCCAGTGAACCAGCGCTACTCCTGCAGATAGTCTCCAAGTCATCAATATGGTCACAACTCATCAGCGCCACCTCTGCAGTTCACAACCAACTCAGGTAAGTGTCTCCCATAGCCAAACCTTGAATGAACACTCTATATCTCAGTCCCTTCCTCTTACGATGCATACACATTCTCTAATCATGAGGATCTACTCTGAATACCACTCATAGCTACACACTAACCCTCTACTACTAATGCTAACTCGCTGGGCAGCTATGACTGCGTCATATCCAGCGTACAGTCTTCTTCCTCCATTCAGCGCAGGTTCTACCTCCAGCGCTGCTCCTCCTGACTCAGCGCACAAGTGCACCAGCACTTCCACGCATTGCAGCCAGTGGAGATCTGGCGAGGAATGAGGCAGGCAGCTTTCTTTATAGTGCTGACTATTCCTCGCTGGGTCTGCATTGGCTCAATTCGACCTTCCCTTTGTCCCAGACCCTGCATTGCATGTGTCCCAGTAGAGTCCCAATGAAGTTCAACTGCTGTTAGGGCCTCTCGGCCTGTATTTGGACTTGAAAGTCTGGATCTGGACTGACCCCTTGACTTAGACCAAAACTGGGACTGTGCCTATTGACTTTACTTTCGGACAGGCACAACTCTCAACGAACAGACACATTTACTGCTTGAACAAACACTTTCCTTTGCACGAACAGGTACACTGCCTGCACGTACAGACACACTCTTATCCGAACAGACATGACATACACAGCTCCTGGTGAACAGGTAAGTCCTTTGACAATGCCCTTTGCCTAGATTTAGATGTGCCTGTTGGTAGAGAACTTAACCTTTGACCTGCTTTCACGTTTCTGAGCCCTGGTGAGATACCTTTTCACAATGCTTTACTTTTTCAAGGCCCGTGCTGCTTTATTTTTACAAGGCCTGAGGCCTATATCGGGTAAAGGCCTTTTTACTCTCGCCGGCCTAGTTTCGAAGTCCTCTGAGAATCATTTACCTATCAAGGATATGAATCCCTCTCTTTGCACTTTGGTATGCTGACACAATATGAGGTCCAAAATCTAACAGTTCTTCTCTTGTAAACCAGCGATCTTCACTAGGATTCTGGTATGCAAACCTCACTTTATACTGTCTCTGTGGTCTGCCTCTATGTCCAGTGTGGTAAGTACTTTCCGCAACAATTTTATCCACGTCATACTTCCCATCCATACTTGGAGGTATCGCTGATTGGCGACTTGGGAAGAGCTCATTCGGTACACAAGGTAAGAGCTTGGACGCATGGAACACTGGATATGTACGTAGATGAGGAGGAATCTCAATGACATACGAAGGACCATCCACATCTCCAATTACGTCTAGAACCTGCCAAGGTCCTCTGTAGGTGGGTAGAAGCTTCTGAGAGATGTTTTCTTCAGGAGCAAACTCTTTAGACTTCACCCAAACCAAATCTCCTACAACAAATTGAGACGGGCGTCTGTGTTTATTTGCCTGTTCAATCATCTGATGTTGTGCTTTGAGTATTTGCTTTTTCAATGTCTTTCTGATATTGGACTGCAAATTCACTAGTCCCTATAGGAAGCTTATGTACTTGATCCGGGTTCAACCGATCAATGGGTGTG